TGGGAAAGTAGCTACTACCAGTAAAGGCCCAGCATGCCTGCCAGTAGTCAAAGAGCAAGCAGGGGCTCAATACAACATGGCTGTAGCTAACTTGGAGTAAGGATGGATTCCCCCACACACACACTGCCAAGGGAGGGACAAGGAAAAAATGGAGCTACTGCAGCTCCACAAAACATCCAGCAATCTCCCTGCTTTCCAGGAAAAGAAGCAGGATGGGGGCAGCTTGACTTTAAATACTTGAACTCCACCCACCTCCCATTACATGCCTAAGCTTGGACCATTGGGCCATGCTTATATTTGAAATCCTTGGTCTCATTCATGGAGGTAGCAAAGCCACACCCTCCCTCCAATGGTTCTGCCTTTCACCCAGATGTGAGAATCATAGAATCATACAGTTGCGCAGGGGTAGGCAAACTTTCCTCTTTAAGGGCCGAGGGACTTCAGCTCCCAGAATCCCAGGAGCTATTGGCCAACATGGCTGAGGCTTCTGGGAGCTGAAGTCCCTCGGCCCTTAAAGGGGAAAGGTTGCCTACCCCTGTGAGGAGACCACAAGGGCCATCCAGTCCAACTCCCTGCCATGTAGGAACTCAAAATCAAAGCATCCCCGACAGATGGCCATCCAGCCTTTGTTTAAAGACTTTCAAAGAAGGATGGTCCAGCATTTCCTACAATATAAACATACAGAAAAGAATATCAAGTTTTGGACAATTGAAAAAATGACTGGTAGTGGGGAGAACATGGAGAGAAAATTGAAAAGAAGAGAGCTTTTTTTGGATCTTCACCTTACAGACCCAGAAACCTATTCAACTAAATGAGAGCTGTAATTGGGCAGAGATATTATTTTTTTTAAAAAATCCTCTTTGCTTTATCCCTCTGATTTTTTGCATTATTTTGGTTGCATTGAGGCTGTAATTTGTGTAGTGCTTTGCAGGATATGTACTCCTTGCAAAGCAACCTGAATTATTCTATAACAGGTGAGATAGATTGCAAATTTGGAGGTAAAGATAAAGCTTTCCATTTGAAACATCCAAAATAGCATTGCAATCTATTGGAGCATCCAAGATACAGACGTATGGGGAAATAACATCTTTAATAACTTTAAATATCTTTATCAAATCCTAAACATATACATGTTTATATATATTCTCTACAGGAATTTATTGCCTGATAAACTCCTTACCTATACTGGATGACTCCCTGCAAATAGGCAAATTATTGTGCTATTACATCTGCTAGATTATTACTTCACAATATAGTCTTCATTTATTAATAAATATACTAAATATATCATATTTTCCCATTTTTTAGCTTAATTTTCCATTGAGGAAGACGTTCAGTTGAAATGCATTTGGTTTAATTGCTATTTTTTTATCTCTTATTTTACATGTCCTCTGGAAGTGCATATACTTCTGCTCCTTCATGCACTTTAAATGTTGGATATTTTTATATTGCATATGTCATTTGAGATTTACATATTTCTAATCTTCTATGTATATTGACAGTGTATTTATTTTATATTTGCATATATATGGGAAGTATATACATTACTTGTTGTTTTTTACTTTCTGACACAGTGTATTGCCTTGACCACACACTGGATGCCAGAAAACTGCTGTTTTTACATTTACTGTATATTTTAGACAATATAATTTTCTTATGTATTACTTTTTCATTACTTTTCCCTAGATCTTTTTGCTTGCCATTTGGAGATTACATTTGCCAGTTCTTTTAATTTCATTGGATGTAGTTCATCTGGTCCTGGAGACTTAAACTCATTTAGGTTAACCAGGTATTCCTATACTACCACTTTACTTATTCTGTGCTGCATTTCCCCTATTGTGTCCTCTGCTCCGTTTTCTTCAGGTTGAGCACCCTCTTCCTTTTCTGAGAAGACTGAGGCAAAGAAGGTGTTGAGTAGCCCTGCCTTTTTTCTGTCCCCTGTTAGAATTTCTCCATCTTCTCTGAGTAGCAGCCCTACCATTTCCTTCTTCTTTCCTTTGCTATGGACATACCCAAAA